TTTCTATATATATATATATATATATAATGAAATCAAATAGCATGAATTATTTTATTTTAAATTATACAGCATAAAAATATCATTGTTTAGTCATCATTTTTTAATTTTTTTTTGTTTAATATTGTTCTACTTTAAATAATTTAATGTTAATTTAAATTATGGGAGCTGAAGTTATGATTGATTTATTTTATCCTTTCAATGACTTAACATTTTGGAAAGATATTTACAAATTTAAGTGATATTTAGATGTCATCAAAGATTTAATTATATATTATTTATGGAATGGTTATTTAAAATTTAATAAATCAAATAATAAAGTTTTTGGTGATAGCAAGATGCGAGAGCCGTAGTCGATTGTTATGAAGGCGGTATGTCACCATGAATGTTGTTGATGGAGAGTGTAGCATTGGCTTGTCATATAGGACGTAGTTAAAATTCATTGTAGTAGTTGGTCGTGTGAGCCGCACATGGTTGCTTCATGAGCGTCAGTTGGCCACAGGACCCACAGTAGAATGTGGTTGCAGGAGTTGTGTGTCATGCATGTTGTAAGTTGTATTTGTTGAAATTCAGAATAATGTGGAATAAAGTGAAATACTTGATTGTTTTATTGATATGAACTAGGATATAAATAACTCTTACAAAAATCTTATAAAAGAAAAAATAATAATAAGTAAATGATATGAAGGGAAAAATATATCACCTAATATCTCCAATAATCAATTCATATTAATTATTATGAGATATATGAAATAACATAAAATGATGAAATAACATAAAATAAGAGAACAAATAATTCATAATCCAAGGAAATAAATATAAAATAGTAAATAAAATATCTTCTTAAGTCTAAGGAAATAATTTATTCACCATAACATCTTACAAGAATAAATTATTTTCTATTATAGCTTTTAACACTTCTCCTGAAGTTTGGAATGTACGTTAATAATTCCTAACTTGATGAGCAGTAGCGAGAATTGAGAAGAGTTTAATAGTTTTGTGAAAACATTTGTTGGTTGTTATAAAGTAGACACATGAGTCAAATTTATTATTCCTTTTTAAACTTTCTCTCGTATGAAATGACAATCAATCTCGATGTGTTTTGTTCGCTCATGGTATACCGTGTTCGAGGCGATGTGAAGTGTTGCTTGGCTATCACAAAATAAATTAACATGATATGAATGTATGATTCTCAAATCCTACAAAATTGTTCTTAGCCAAATAATCTCGCATTAGGTAGCGGCCATGGACCGATATTCAAATACTACACTAGAACGTGATATCGTGGTTTGTTTCTTATTTTTCCAAGAAATTAATGAACTCCCAAGAAAGATACAATACATAGTAACTGATATTTGAGTGTCATGACACCTGATTCAATTTGCATCACAAAAGACATTTAGTTGGGTTGAACTTTCTGCTGGGAGGAAAATTTCTTTTCTTGCTGTTTGTTTTACATAACGTAGAACACGATGGGTTGCTTCTAAGTGTGACACTCATGGCTTGTCCATAAATTAACTTGAGATATGAACTGCATATGCCAAATCAGGTTGTGTAATAGTCAAGTAAATTAATCTCCCAACTAGTCTTCGGTATGATGATGGATCATTGACATATTCTCCTTCTGATTTGCTAAGAGATAAGTTTTATTCCATAAGGAAAGTAGTTGGTTTTGCACTGAGGTACCCATAATCCTCGAGTATTTCAAGAGCATACTTTCGTGGTGAAAGCACAATACCCTTTTGAGATCGCACAACCTTAATACCAAGGAAATATTTTAATTGTCAAAGGTCCTTTAATTTCAATTGGTTCCTTAAGAATATTTTGATATATTAAATTTCTTATAAGTCATTCATTGCAATGATGACATCATCTACATATATAAGAAGACCGATGAATTTACCATTCTGGGATCAGACGAATAAGGAATAATCTTCCTTTGATTGTATAAAATTGGCTTGCTTTAGAGTGGTGGAAAGCTTGATGAGTCATTGTCGTGAAGCTTGTTTGAGACCATATAATGATTTGTGGAGTTTACAAACTTGAGTCTCCCTCTTTCGTCCGAGGTCAGAAGGTAGCGGCTAATATATGTCATCGTCGAGGTTCCAATGCAAAAAAAGCATTATTGACATCTAGTTGGTGGAGATGTCATTACTTGGTTGAAGCTAACACAAGGAGTAGACGAACAGTTACAAGCTTTGCTACAGGCGCAAGGGTTTCCTGATAATCTAGTCCTTCAATTTAGTTATACCCTTTTGCCACTAATCTGGCCTTGTAGCGTTCAATTGTCTCATCTTCACGAAGTTTGATTTTGTATACCCATTTGCATCCAATTGGTCTTTTTCCAGGCGATAATGGTGCAAGGGACCATGTGTCATTGGCGTTGGATGCGTTAGCAACCTGTCACTTTGGATTATGAGCAGCTTCTACAAAGGTGCTTGGCTCCTTTTCAATTGAAAGAGAGGTGGTAAAAGCATGATGTTTAGGTGACAATCTAACATATGATAAGATGTAGCTTTGGCCAACACGGAGTTTGTTGTTGGGGGGTGTCGCGAGGGAAGAGAAATACCAACATGATACTCACACAAATAGTTAGGCGTTTTTGTTGTTCTCATTGGTTGTGGTTATGATATTTGTTCATTTGGAGTTGCAGCTTGTTCTGAGAATAAATTTGAAGTGAGTGAAGGTGAAAGAGTCTCTTGAGTGGGGATTTTGTTGTTTTGATAAGATGTAATATCTTCTTGAGGTAATTCATTGAATGAAGGCATGTCGGTGTGGGTGGTGAAGTGCAAAATTGAACATTTATCTATAGCAAAGGAAGGAGAAGAGAAAGTGTTTTCATGTAAACGAACATCTCGTGATACAAAAACCTTCCCAGTTGAAAAGTCATAAAATCTATAGCCCTTTTGCACGTATGGATGCCCTAAGAAAAGATATCAAATGGCTTTGGGATCAAAATTGGTTGGTCGCTGATGATGTGTTGGAGAAAAACAAAGACACCAAAACATGCACAAATGATCATATGTGGGTTGTGTTTGGAAGAGCATTTCAAAAGGAGTCTTTCATTGGAGAAGGGGTGTTGGAGTTCGATTAATTAGGTAGGTGGCAGTTATGATTGCATCTCCCCAAATTTTTTTGGATAAATTAGCTTGAAAAAATAAGGCTCGGGCTATGTTGAGTAAGTGGCGATGTGTTCTTTCGGCTACACCATTTTGTTGCGGAATGGAGACACAACTGGATTGGTGAATGATGTCTTTATCGAGATAAAGATTCCTCAATATGAATTCATGACCATTATAACTTCGAATGATTTTGACCTTTAAACTGAATTGTGTTTCAACGAGGTTTATGAACTTAATGATGTATGAATGTGTATCTGACTTATGGTTCATCAAATAAGTCCATGTGCATCGAGTATAATCATCAACAATTGTGAGAAAATACTGCACTCCTGTGATTTTCCTGTGATTGAAGGAACTTAGTACCCTCCCCAGATGTCAACAAGAATTAATTCAAAATGTGTTTTTGAGTCAATGGAACTTGTTTGAAAAGATGAAAGAGTTTGCTTAGCCAATGAGCAAATTAAACAATAAAAAACATTACAAATTTTCTTGCCTATACTTGAAAAAATAAACAAGTTGAAAACTTTATTCGATGGGTGGCCTAGATGTTTATGCCAAAGATTTGGGGATGGTGAAGTAACAACATTGCACTTTCTCTTTTGTGGATTATTAAGGTAGTAGAGTCCTTCTCTTTTAGTTCATGTCCCAATCATCTTCCCCAATTGTTGGTCCTGTAGCACATAAGTGTGGTTATTAAAAATGGCAAAATATTGTGAATCAAACACAAATTTGCTAATGGAAATCAAATTTAATTTGAAGGAAGGGACACATAAAACATTTTGTAGAACGAAGTCAGCAAAATGGATGTTGTCTATGTGTGTGACAGTTACAGTAGCTCTGTTAGACAAGTGAACTTTTCGATTGGTGACACTGGATTTTGTAGTAAGTAGGTTGGCTGAATATACCATGTGATATGTGGCTCCTGTGTCACGAATCCAATGCATTTCTTTGTCAAAAACATATACACAAAAGATTTTATCTGAGATATCACTCATGACTGATGTACTGCCAACATGATTAGCCATCAAATTAGATTTTTTCTCTGCAAGTAGTGATATGAGGCTTTGATATTGTTCAGCTGTAAGGGTGAATGGTGCATGACTTGTCGATGTATTGATATCTACATGGTTGACTTTGGGAGCCAAATGTTTTAGTCCAGGTTTATTGCCCGTTGTATTGGCCCTTTTGCAGCTTCCTACATTCATTGATGGTGTGTCATTGCCATCCACAATAATCACATTTCAGATGTGCTCGACATATGTTTGAGGTATGCCTAATTTTGTCACATTTTTCACAATTTAAATGAGGATTTTTAGGCGTGAAAACCTTCTTTATTTTTTGTGCATTATTCTTCAAGGCAAAAGCCAAAGCTTCCGGCTGCGACACACTTACACTGTTCATCCCGCACTGTTTTTTCCTCTTGGAGCGTGAGAGAATGTGTCTTGCTGACATTGGGAAGGGGATCCATGAGAAAAAATCTGCCCTCATATACCAGTGTATGTTTCATTAAACCCCATGAGAAATTTCATGGTTTTTTGGTTTTGCTGAAACTGCATTACTTACTTTATGACACCACACGTGCATTTAAGAATGTTATAAAAGGTGTCTCGTTCATCCTATAGGCCTTTGAGCTTGGTGTAATAAGCTCCAACTATTATATCGCTATGCTTGCAATCATGGATGACTTCTTCGACATGAAAAATATGAACATTGTTGGTACGAGAAAAACGTTTCTTCAAGTCAAGCCAGATTTCATGAGCACTTTCATTATATATTATATTTGTTTCAATGTCTTCTGCAATTGAATTAAGCAACTGAATTAAGCAACGGTTGTTGCAGCGCCTCCATTGTTGAAGTTCTGCGGTGGACATTTATGGTGGGTTTTTGACTGTGTCATTGACGAAACCTTCTTTGTTTTTGATGTTTAGAGCCATCAACATGGCACGACTCAAGATATTGTAGTTTTCTCCATTCAGCGGCTGCGTAACAAGCATGAGACCAGGTTGATCTGAGTAGTGAAGATAAAAGGGGTCATTCGAATTATTGAATGTGTTAAATTTAGGCTTGGCTGAATTTTGAGTTTTGTCTGCAATATATTTCGACCTATAATGAACATAAATGGGGGTTTCAATGTGGAAGAGGAGATGGTAAGACTCAGAATTATGTTTGCTCTGACACCGTGTTGAAATTCAGAATAATGTGAAATAAAGTGGAGATGATAAAAAGGGTCGTTCGAATTATCAAATTTGTTAGATTCAGACTTGACTGAATTTTGAGTTTTGTCTGTCATGTGTTTCAACCTATAAAGAAGATAAATGGGGGTTTCGACGTGGAAGAGGAGATGATAATACTTAGAATCGTGTTTACTCTGATATCATGTTGAAATTCAGAATAATGCAGATTAAAGTGGAATATTTAATTGTTTCATTGATATGTACGGAAGTATAAATAACCCTTACAATAATTCTATAATAAGAAAAATAATAAAAAGGGAATGATATGAAATGAAAGATATATCACATACTATCTCCAATAATCAATTCATATTAATTATTAGGAGATCTAAAAAATAACATAAAATAGGAGAACAAATAATTCCTAATCCAAAGAAATATATATAAAATATAAAATGAAATATCTTCTTAATTCTAAGGAAATAATTTTTTCATCATTACTTCTTACAATAATAAATTATTTCTTATTATAATTCATAACAATATTAGTAAGCTATGACAACGTCCGTAAGTCGCAAATGTATGAATCAGGAGTTGCACTAGCTGTATGTCATTTACGTCGTAGTTGAATATATAGGTAATGGCGGTGAGTTGTAATAATGTCTATAAGCTATAGAGAATATGGTTGGACACTGCACAAGTTGTGAACCATATATGACACATAATTATATAAATTGAAGTTGTGAGTTATGATGATAACATTCATAATAAGGAATCATAAGGGTTAGAATCAGAAGTTGCACGAGTTGTGAGCCACATAAATCATAATTTATGGCCCCATAGGTCATTATAATGAGCTCAGATAACACATTCGATGCACTTTTTATTAGTCGAAACATTTTATTAATTATTAATAATCTAATTTTGCTTACGCTTCCCCTGCCTGAAATCCTCAGCCAACCTTCTTCTTCTTCTTCTGCTCCCCATCGCGGCCGAAACGTTAGAGATGCAGTTGTGATTGGAGTTAGTTTGGAAAATACCTCCGAAACTCCATTCTTTCTTACCCTTCCGCCCCCCGCCCCGCCTCTAAGGTAACGGTCGTCTTTCTCCCCCTTCTTCTCACACCCTTTCGCGCATTTTCGTTCCTCTTAATAGCGTAAATTCGGGATATAAGGCAAAAGATTGGAGAAACTGGATTCTGTTTTGTAGGATTTAGGTTAAATACTGCTCAAATTCTTCCACCAAGCATCTCCACTAACTCCGTCTTTTGTTTTGTTCTCTTTAGGGTTTGCGGTATGTTGCTTATCTTCCTATAATCTTATCTTTTTTCTTTTTCAGGTTGTCGCAGAAATTTCGAATCTAATTCCAAATATCAAGGGTAAATGACTCAAGCTTTCTGCCACAAGCTCACCGTGAATTTTTAGATATTTTTCACAATTTTCTGATTTCACTGGGCTTTTCTTTGCCAGTGAAATACATTAAATTTAGGTTTGTTACTGCGATTAACTAGCTTTTGTTTTTTTCAGTTTATTGAAGTTATAATTAATCTGTTAGAAACACAAGCCTTACAATGACTGTACACAATTTATAACCTTTATACGAAAATAGAAGACAATGTTAAGTTCTTTTTGATTTTCAAGCCAACTCAATTCAATGTTGAGCCCATTGATGAATTATTCTTCAACTTTTTATAATTTAAAACGAGTATTTCTTTTAGCAGTCGTGCGTTTTATTTTTTTTGTTTGAGTTCCTCTTTTTATTCTCTCTTAAGTTAAAATTTTGATTAACTGATGTTTGAATTTGAAATATTTAATCAGATATGCTTTGCTTAATCTCTTCTCTTGCAAGGGAGAAAGTGCTTGCCAATGTGATATATTGCCTTGTGAACTTATTACTTTTTTGGGACATTTACATACACACCTCCCAATTCCTATGTATTTAAGTATTAAACTTGACTTTTTACATTTACATTTCATTTCACATGAAAAATACCACTATGTTAACTTTTTTTAAAATTGAAATACACCTTTTCATTCATAAGCAAGGTGTCATATATGTAAAAATTAAAGTTTAGGAGGCAGATATGTAAATACCTAGGAATTGAGTGGTGTGTGTATATCTTACTATTGTTTTTTCCAAATTTGAAGCTGCTTGGAGAGATGTGATTTATAAGCAATTGGCAGTGTCAGATAGCTTTGAAGCTCATGTTTCAATTAAAATACAGTAATTAGATGATTGCCGCAACACCTGCAAAGTAAGTGATAAGAAGGAAAAAAGGGCGAAAGGAATTTTACTCCCTTAAACGGTGTATTAACTCAATAAAGAAATCATAATCCTTTTTTGTCCAACGCTCACGCGAGCGCCCGCGCGCACACACATACACATACATACTTATATATACATACATACATGTATATAGTTACACACACACACACACATACATACACTTAAGTACATACACATACATACATACATATATATAGTCACACACACACACAATATATATATATATATGAATGATGGCCAATAAGAGCTAATAAAGCAAATGCAATTAAGAAATATGGGCATGTGCGAGTCACGTGAGCTGCTTATGAAGTGGTTGCATCAGTTCCCTTCTTCTCCATAAGACTTGACTAGAGTTCATTGACGGGTGCAATTCCATCATACAACTGGTGGTATTTGGAAAGATTGGAGACATTGAATGTGGCTGAAATTTTTACATTAGGCAGAAGATACGCCACATATGAATTGTCATTGATTCTAACTTCAATTGGAAAAGGTCCTATCATTCTTGGTTTCAATTTTGTTCTAGTGCCAACAGAAAAGCTTTGTGTACGCAGTCGTATCTTCACCTTCTTGAAAAATCTTCAGTTTTTGATTCCTATCAAGTTGTTCCTTGTATTTGAGATTGCTCCGTTCTATGTTATCTTTCACTTCTTGTAACATTTGACCAAATTGACCCACAATTTGGGAGGCTTGTAGATGAGAGGAAGTTGGGGGGAGAGCCATATCAACAATACTATTAGGTTTATTGGTATAAACAATGCTAACGGGTGATCTACCTGTAGTTCTATTCACCATATTATTGAAGGTGATTCGAATTGACCCAATACATCGTCCCATTGCTTAGGTTTTTCATTTGCAATGCATCTAATCACATTTCCCGGAGTGCGATTCATCACCTTTGTTTGATCGTCTGTTTGCGGGTGTTAAGCCGAACTAAACTTGAGCTCAGTTTGAAGACATTTCCATATTTCGCGCATAAAACAACTAATGAATTTAACGTCCCAATACGAGGTCAGGCTGAGAGGAACACCATGAAGACTTACAATATCTTTTGAAGAATAATTTGACAACATTAATGGCGTCAAAAGTTTTTTTGCACGCAATAGAACGAGTCCTTTTTGAAAATTTGTCTACTACAACCATGACGGAGTCAAATCCTATATTTTTCTTTGGAAGACCCACGACAAAATCTAGTCTTAAGTCCTCTCAAATGGTCTTTGGAAACGACAAAGAGATATACATTCATATTTTGAGATATTCCTTTATATATTTCACTAATTGAGCATTTTTCTACAAAACCACATATGTCTCGCCTCTATTTTGGCCAAAGAATATGGATTGGACTAATGCTAGCGTTTTGTCTCTTCCTACATGAGTGGCCAAACCTCCCCCATGCAAATCCTATATAGTATGTTGTTGAAGTGAAGTATTGGGAACGCACAGCTGATTAACTTTGAATAGAAAACTACGGTTCAAGGGATAGTTGGCAGATGCTATTCGAGAATTACATTGTGACCATACTGTTGCAAAATCTGAATCATCTAAATACAATTCTGGTAAGAAATTAAGCCCCGTTATGGTGGATTGAACAGCAATGAGAAGGCTAGCTAGCCTACTCAACACATCTGCAACTAGATTATTTTGCCCGGCTTTATGTTTTAATACAAAACTGAATTTTTCTTGATAAATGATCCATCTCATTTGCATTCTATTCAGATTTTTTTGTGTTTATTAAAATTGTAGAGTGGCGATCACTATAAAGCATAAACTCTTGATGTATCAAGTAATACTCCCATTGTTTAAGGGTGCGTATTACAATATATAACTCTTGTTCATATCCAAATCAAGAATAGTAGAATCAAAGCAGAACTAAGACAATTTTTTGGTGTTGAAGCTGAATTCTTGTTCTTCTCCCCATATGAAAGTTTTCTGCTTGAGATAATCAGTTATCGGAGGCATGATTATACTGAAATTATGAATGAATTTGAGATAAAAGTTGGCTAGCCCGTGGAAGCTCCTAACTTCGGCGATAGATGTTGGCGTCAGCCAAAATAGAACGGTTTCCACCTTACGTGGATCTATTTTAATTCCATGCTTGGACACAGTGAACCCCAAGAAGCATACCTCTTCCAATGCAAATTCACATTTAAGACGCTTAAGAAACAACTTATGGTCTTTCAAGGCCGATAAAATCAATCTTAAATGATGAAGATGAGTTGCCATGGAGGAAGTATGCACAAGAATATCATCGAAATAAGCTACACAAAAATGCCCAAGGAAAGGTTTTAAGTACCTCATGCATTAATCTCATGAATGTGCTTGGCACATTACACAATCCAAATGGCATGAATCTCCATTCGTAAAGAGCATCACGAGCCTTGATGGCTGACTTCCATTCATCCCCTTCACAAATTCAAATTTTATGGTAACCACATCGGAGGTTGAGTTTGGAGAAATTTGAGGACCCATTCAATTTGTGTAAAAGCTGTTCTAAGCTTGGCATTGGGAAATTAAATTTAACGGTAATTTTGTTAACTGCTCCACTGTCTATACACATCCTCCGGTACCAACTTTTATTTGGAACAATAAGGGCAGATACGGCACAAGTCTTGCAACTTGGTCGGATTAATTGCTTCCTTTATAATTCATCTATTATTTCTTGCAAACTTGATATTCCTTTGGGCTTAATTTGTAGTGAGGTTAATCAGGTAGAACAGAACCCGATATGAAATCTAATCTGATGTTGAATAACATGTTTTGGTGGCAATTGATTTTGCTGGTCTTAACTGGTGGTGTAGGTAGCAACAACACCGTCTTTCCTTTCTAATCGATAGAGTAGGTGTTAGCTCGGCCATCATACCAAGCTCCATCATTGAACTGCCAAGGCCTTCCCAAAATGAGATGATAAACACCAATATTAATGACATCTTAAACCACTTCGCAAACGAAGTTCTCACCAATAGAGAATTTCACCATGCAAGTGTCAGTCATCAAAACGTCGATTCCTCTTTTAACCCAACTAATTTTGTATGGATGTGATCTTTTGGAAGTTTCTAGTTATAATGCCTTGACCGCATTAGCAGCAATTACATTCTCTGTACACCCACTATCAACTACTAGTTGACAGACTTTACCATTAACAGTGTAACGCCTTCTAAATATGGCATGTCTTTGAGTGTTTACCGATTGTTTTGGTGATAGTAGAATTTTCTCCATGACACATCACAGAAACTCCCCATTGTCACCTGACACATCTTGACATTTATTATTGAAAAAAGATGGTTTATCATGGTATCTTCTTCCGATTCATCATCAGCAAGTTGTAACTGCCGCAGATTCGGGCACTCATTGGATCTATGCCTGGGTTGGAAACATTGAAAACACTTAGAAGGTCCTGGTTTACCATATATTCCTTGTCGTTGGTACTTGGGTTTCTGTACAGGTTCGAGGTCTTCCATGCCAGCCTTTTTAATCGATTTTTGGGACTGAAGAGGGCTCTCTCTAGCGACATTAGATCCACCCTTTCCGATTTTCTTCAGTGTACAGTTGTATTGTACTTCTGGTTTTAAACTTTGGGAGTTCGACTCAGCAACGACTCAGCCTTAAATGCGAAGTTTACTGTCTGGGACATGACGAAACCGTTTTCATACCCAGTTTTTCTTGAATAGCTTCTCGGAGACCTCCAATGTACCGAGCAACCAGTTTTTGATTAGTTTCATTTTGATTATTCTAGGCACCATGCCTGTAAAACTCTTATGTGCATTGGCTCACGGAACGGTTGTACACACACATTTGATATTGTAAGTACAACATTTGCCCATAATCTGATGGCAGGAAATGACTTCGGAGTAATTGCTTCGTTCTAACCCAACTTCTTACATTCCTCTGAAATTGAAGTAGCTGCAGCCACCAGGAGCCAACTCCTCGTTTTATTTTACATGCAACATATCGAACCTGCTTCTCCGAGGGAATATCCATATAATCGAAGGTCTTGACCGATTGTCTTCGATGTGTAGATGTCCCACTAAGTTCATGATACTATATCCAATCTAGAAACTTGGTTCTTCCCAAAATTTGTACTACTTTTCGATGTATATAAAATTCATCCTTTGGATCATCCCAATCAAATCACTCTTTTTTCTTTTTTCTATAAATGAAAAAATTAACGTAAAATCTTCTATGAAAAAAAAAGATCTTGAATTTGTAAATTCCAAGAAGGAAGAAAACCAACAGGTCCAAAAAAATTTTGTATTGAATCTACTAAACCAAAAGAATAAAAAAACTACTGTTGAAGAAGATTACGCAAGCTTAGAAATAAAAAAAAAGGTAAATAAAAAAATGGTATATAAAAAAAAATATATATATATAAGAGCAAGAATGAAATGGAACTAAATTTATTTTTGAGAAAATTCATGTCCATCAAAAACTGGAATATCAAATTTCACCTTAAAATCATGAAAGTGTCGTTCATACTTTAATCGTCGATAGGAAGAATGTTCCATTAGTAGTGGTTCCTCTTCTGAATCCCAATCTGAAAGATAAGTCTCCGGCATTCAAGAAGCCCGGATGTAGCCATCAAATCAGACCGTAAGGAGTGCCTTGGGTCACGATTAACTACAACGGGAAAATCAGTAGCAGGTGTAGTTGCCAAATCGCCCGGTGTGGCTGCTGGTGGAAGGACCCCACTATTCTTGAAAGATCTAAGCTGTCTTGGATCCTCTCCAACAAAAAGTTGGAAATCCACAGGCAGTTTATCCACCTTTTGAGTAAGAGCCAATTGAGCTTCGTATAGGCTTTCTCAGCACTGATCTACGTTGCCTGTCCACCATTTGAAGAATGCTCTGATACCAAATCTGGCACCGCACCTGCAAAGTAAGTGACAGGAAGGAAAAAAAGGCGAAAGGAATTTCTCCCAGACAGGGTACCACTCCCTGAAACAGTGCATTAACTCAGTAAAGAAATCATAATCCTTTTGGTCAGCTTTAGTGTTTGTGTGTGTGAGTGTGTCAGATTAATATAAAAAAAGAAGCTAGAACTATCATATTAAGAGCTAATAAAGCAAACTCAATTAAGAAATCTGGGTACCTGCGAGTCATGTGAGCTGCTCATTAAGTGGCTGCATAAATGATGCTTTTATGTTTAGAAATTATAATTAACTCATGTTTTTCTACGACTGTGGGATGCTTATAATAATCAAACCTAATTTCATTTATTAACTGATAATAATCCACTTTGTGATGCAAATTGCAGCATTGCTGTTATTTTGTATATTAGTTTATTATTATTATGGGACTTTTACATGCATACCACCCAATTCTTATTTGTTTACATGCCTCACACCTAAGCTCTGCTTTTTTACATTTATAACAACCAAAGCTTTCGTGTTACATAAAAAAATCCACCATTTTACTTTTAGAAAGTGCAATACAAATTTTCATTCTCGGGTAAAGTGGTATGTGTGTTAAAAGTTGGAAGTTTTGGGTGTTAAGTATGTAAATATATACAACTTGAGTGGTATATATTTAAATCTTTCCAATTACTTGTTTATGTTCTTTCTAATACATCTTTATTCTTTCATTCACATGTATAATTTTATGTGATTCAAGATGCATATCGACAACATGGTTCAATACAACTTCAAAAAGATCACTTATGGCGATACAGTTATGATTGGAGTTATTTGGGAAGCCAATGACGAGATAGCGGCGTAGGAAAATACTTCTTCCCCTCCCTTCTTCCCCTCCCTTTCCACCTCGCTCCTAAGGTAGTCCTCGCTTGTTCTTTGGGCGGAGTAACGAGTTAAATCCTATCTCCGGCACAACAGCTCCGGGTTACACCTTGCCCACGGCAACCGCGTGACCGTGGAGAAAGCAAGGGAGACATTAAGACATGGCTACGATAGCCCGAAGACCGCCGGTTTCACTTGATACGAAGAAGAAAGAAATGAAGAAGAAGAAGAATATGGAAGAAGATCAGAAGAACAAGATGGGGCAGGAGATTGAGGAAATTTTCAGGGCTAACAAGAAAAAGAGGAAGGAATCCCCTGGAGTTGCAGGGCAAAATTTAAAGGCAACTGTGGCAACAGGAAAAGAAGATAAAAAGGTTAATAAGAAGAAAATGCCGAAGGAAGAGAAAGAGAAGAAGAAGAACAGATTTCTTGTGGATGAGAGTTCTGAGAATCCCTCGAAGCGGAGGAGGACAGGGGAAGGGTTTGCTATCTACTCTGAAGAGGAACTTGGCATTGGTAATCAAGACTCCGGCAACACGGCTCTGTGTCCTTTTGACTGCTCATGCTGCTTCTGAGTCTTGTTGTATGTTGCAAATTTTAGGCAAACGCTTTTCTTTTCTCTTTTTACTCGTGTCGTTTTGAGCCAGTACATTTCTTTTTGGTACTTGTGATGTTTAATAATTTTTATCTTTCTATCAGGCATAAAAAAATGTTGCTTGTATGAAACAATTTGGTAAAAGTGTTGATTCTTGGATGGAGTTTCTGTTCTAATTTTACTAAATATGCTATAAGCAATTAGTTTGTTGCAAGATTGTTCTTCTTTACTTCCTGGTAAGGTTTATGGATCGACAGTTCTTTTTTGTTGCTCGTAATTGATTATGAACTTGACAGATGTATAGCTGAATCTGTCATGTTTTAGTATATGACTCCTGGTTTGTTGGTTTTTATTTCCTGTTCTTATTTTTTGTTGCGTGATTTGTAACTTTTGAGGGTCTTCAGCTATTGATTCTGATTGTTAGAAGTGAAAGAATTGTGAATTTTATATAGAGAAGCTATGAAACGAATGGGGAGGCAGCTCGTCTTTGAGCTTGGATCCGGTTTTTGCCTTTGATCGAATGAGAAGCAGTATCTTCTGCCTTTGATCGAGCGAGAAGCAGGTCCGCCTCTAGAAAGGGCCGGAAGAGGGATCGATCATTGGCTATAGATGGCGAAACCATGGATGTTGATGACGAACACAAGAGTAAGAAGCTGCGATCGAAGTCACGTTTGAAGCCACGCTCATGGCCACCTGGCGAAGTCATGCCTGGAGAAGGATCGATGGATTCTCCACAGAAGCTGAAGGCAATAAAGCTTAAAAAGAAGTCAGAGAAGGCCAGAAATTAGGCGGCTCCCAATTTCAAACTTATAAGCACTTGTTCTCTGGAAATTGAGGCGTTGAGGTGTGCAACTTACTGTTATTTTTTTCTGTCATTAATGTTTGGTTTTACACAATGCCTGAGAGAACTACTTCAAAATTCTATTTTATAAGCGTTGCTTTGGTAACCGGATGGATGCTATTCTATTTTATAATGATACTGCTGAGTTATAAACCACTGCTTCATTTGTATTCTTTTTGGAGCAAATATTAGCGATGGGATCTGTGGGCTCAGAAAAGAGAATGATGAAGATGTCAATGGTCTCGTGGAAACTTTTTTACACCTGCACAGTTTCTGAAACATTTAGGTGGGGTGATGTTGCTTATGCTTACACTCATCTGCATGTTCTTGATGTTACCAATTCTGCCACCTGATGATGATGATACATTTGCTGTTATTTGCATTTTTTTCTACTTGCTTAATTTCAAATCAGAAGAGTGTTATATTTTATATAAATTACTAATATACATTTTTCTGCTCGTTTAATCTCAAATCTGAAGGTTTTTTAATTGATTTCTGTACTTCTCTGAGCTAAAATCTTTGTTGATTATTACAAACTTCAACTTGTTTCCTTCGTTTTCTTTTCTTAAAAATCCTCTCCAATGTACGTATTATGTAGTCCTGTAGTTTTGGGCATGATTTTTTTATTCGAAATGTATAAGATTTTTGAGCCTTTATAAAAATACTGTGCTTTCTAATGTACATATTTATGTAATAATTTCTTATTTGTGTAAATTGATTTAAATAGAATTAGCAATGGCAGTGATGGTTGCAATTTAAAAGAATTAGGGGTACTTTAGACTTCTATATAAAAAACCTACTACTCGTCAAATGAATAATAAAAAGCTTTCTGTTTTTGAAAAGCACGGAGAAAGCATTTTATTCACATGTCCGATTTTAGTAAACATTAATTTAATTACATTGTTCTTCAAGCTGCTTTTAAACTAACTTTTTATGAAAACAAAAGCTCACCTTTCTTGACTTAATTGATATTTTTTATAATAAAGTCATATAAGGCCCACTTATTTGCATGAAAATGTCTTGTCTTAGGGTGTATTTAGTTTATTGTTTAGGCCATGTTATGTTCGGATGCTGCGCCTTGACATTGTTTGTGGTAGTGTTCACGACGCTATTTCGTGAAAGTAGACTACATAAAATGGTGTTTTGAGAACTCGCTATTCATAGAAATACCTTACTAGGGGATTGGTTAGCTATTATGATTCACACATTTGTTTTAGGATGGTAAGCATTTGATAAATGGAGTTGAGTGCCTAGAAGTTTTCATAGTATTTTCCATAGCTGAGTTGCAAATTGCATTTCTCAATCAAAGATAATGTCTTGGGCACATTTTGAAGTTTTTCAATCTTTATTAGAAAGGCTTTATAAAGATTGGAAACATCAATGATTTTTCTATTATGAGTCGTTCTTGGAAAACGATGAACAACTTCAAATTCTAGTCATCATCTCTTTGTTTTTGGTGGCAATGACCATGAAATTCATGTTAATATCTTTCAATGAGTGTTTTGGAATTGGAAAGGGTTGATATAAGGCACATTTTGCTTCTCTTCTTCCCTCTTTAACGATGATGCAATATTTATGAAATATTCTACCTTGCTTTTCACCTTGGCTATAGATAAAATTAAAAAAATTATTGATTTGATAGGATATGAGAATGTAACAATTTAGAATGAATGGATGAAGTTGGAGATATATGAACTCTATGTTTCCTTACATTCTCTTGAGAAACCCTCATGTAGACCTTGAAATATATCTTTAGTTTTCATTTTTTGCCCATGAACATTCCTCATTAATGTGTTTTGGTGGTTTGTCATTTTTTTTTTCAATTGGATGCACGTCTCATTATTCAACGAGCAGAATTCTTTGAAAGGTTATGATGAGTCATATGACCCTGCGGTTCTTCTACAAAACCTTTATGCTGCTATGCTTTTAGATATATACGAGTTTGTTTTAAACTATTTTAAGGCAACCAAGATCCCCTTTTTATTGGTTCTCTATTTTGTTCTGATAGCATATTATTTATCTTTTTGTATGGTTCGTGAGCACTAGGTATTTTTCTTTAATATTAAAATTTCTCTTTTTTCAATTTTATGGATGAAAGAAAAGCTTATGTTGCAAATTTTTACTTCTATTTTCTCCCATTTTATGTGATATTTATACACTAGTGAGTTGCAATGAACAAATCAAGATAACACAATTTTTCTCCTACATGGGAGAGAGAATTTAAGCTTATTTTTTTGTGATGTATGTCTGAAAGAGATAGAATTATATAATCTAGCTGCAACACATTTCAACAAATAAGACTAACAAAATATAATGTAGGACTTTTGTGAGAAAATTGTAAGGGAATAACTAGAAAATAAATGAGATCAAATGAGAAAAAAATTAAATTAATGATAATTTTATGTAATACAAAAGATTTATGTTGTATAGCTAATTCTTAATTCCTCAATTCAATACTTCACAATTCTTTCATCTTATTAAATTACAAAGCAACTTTAAGGAATTATTGTTCTCCATAAAATGCTGACTTGTAAATCTTAAAAACTCTTTAAGGCAGCTTTACTTGGCTTGTAACAGTGTTTTTAGAATTTTTAAAATAAAATTTTTTTTTTTGAAAACAATTATGCATATTATAATTTTTTTTTTCTTTTTGAAAAGTTAAATAGCGACTTTCTTATAATTTCCACATTCTAACCGCAATATATATTATATATATATATATATATATACAACAGCTAAAATTCAACTTTTACATATGTGTCACCTTAACTACACATGGAAAGGTATATTTCAATTTTTAAAAATTAATATAATGATAATTTTTTTATGTAATATGAATGATATAAATGTAAAAAACTAGAGTATAGATTTTAGATAAGCAAATACATAAGAATTAGGCAGTATGCAGGTAAATGCGTCTTAAACCATTTGTTGCCAATTCTAAAAAATATACATATAATTTCTTACACACTTGCCCTTTTAGACTTGGACAAAATTACAATTCAAACCCTCGTCAAAACTTTTCAGCATCTACATCATAACTTATGGCATAAACACATTGCGTATCAGAGTACAAATTTCATAGATTCCAAAATTATTGGAATTAGGTACCAACAGCAACATTGCACATGCTCTTCACATTCTGCAATCAGATACCACATAAAAGAATGCACAGATTTTAGCAGAATCAGATCTCAATACAAGACTTCATCTTTTAGTTCAAACCTTGGACAATTTTCAGCTTAATTTTATAATAAAAAGGTTTACACAAAAGCCCCATGTATTCATATATCAAACAACTATACTTCCAGTTTTTACATATAAGTCAACAAATGTATATATTTCACTATTTAAAAGTTAAATTTTTTATGTGATAAAAAAAGATTGCGACATATTTAAACTCCTCATATTCATTGATGAACTTACGCAAGTCTACACTTTAGATCATACAATAACTGCATAGGATAAGCAAAATGAGAGGCATTACAGTAGCAAAAAAACCCCTTTAGATCCCAACCCTGATTTATCCCTACCAAGTTTCTATCCATAGGACATGAAATTTCAAAATGTAAGGCAATACCCAGCATTTACCTACAAACAATCTGACCATGAACGCGCAATATCAGCGAAAAAGGAATCAACAATGTACATGAAAATTGATCGTCCACGGCTGCTTCAGAATTCACATTAGACAGCTCGTTGTCGACGAAGGATCGAACGGCTCGCTGTGGCAATCCAACGGTCAGCGATGTTGCTCAGGGCCGGGCAATCACCATTCGTTCAAAGGAATAGATCTTCATGGAAGGAGGAGAAGAAGAGCTTGGGGAATCATAAGGGCCCATCCCCGTCGCCTCTTTCTCCCCTTCCAGCTCTTCGTCGAATAAAATCTCTTGTTCACGGCAGCTGTAGCTGCAGAATGCCTTCTCACCCCTGAAAGCCACATTTCAGTACTCAGTTTAATCTAAATCTTAAACGGTATAATGTGATTAATTAAAGATGATAAATTTCAGATAATAATAGCTTCAAATTTGCAGATTTGTGGAACAAAAGATATCAAACCTGTACATATAGATATCTTTGCCTACTTCTAGCTTCTTGTTACAGTGGCAGCAGAAACTCAGGAAATCATTAGAATGAAAGGAAGGTGGAGTCTCCTCCAAGCTCTTAACAATCCAGTGAGAGTCTCCTTCTTCCTCTTCTTGCTTATTCTTCGAACCCATAGACTCAATCAAGAAGTTCTCTAAGATACAGTCTCCAAAAATATGAGTAGTTTTCGGATTAGGTCCGTGCGAGATAATGCAAGTGTAATCCTCTGAAAGCTCAATCTCGCTTGCAGAAAGTGAACCCATGAAGCCATTGATTGAACTGCTCGACATCGGAAGGGAACCAGAGAAGAAATTTGGAGGAGAACAGAGATTTGAGCTTTTTGAATCAGAAACAAAAACATCGGAACTTGGCTTGGGGTTATGATAAATTTGCTGAGCTTTGTCTGCTGTGCAAGATTCAATCTTTTCATAAGAACCGAAGGGGGAAAAGAGAGAGGTCGCCATGTTTGAGCCCAAATTTGTTGGCTTAGGAGTTATTTTGTTCACAATTCTCATCTGTGGTCCTAAAAGAATATTCTTGCTCTCAGGACTACACTGCCCCTTTTCATCACTGAGAGAATCCACCAAGCCAAGCCCAACTCTGCTACAATCCCAGCTTCTTCCCATCGATCTCGGAGATCGAACAAAAGAAGAGCTGAAGTTGGAGAAAAGCCTGTGATCCAATGGAGAAGTGGGGCTCTTCGCAGGATCAGAATCATGTACTCCTTTCCCTGTAAATCCGACGAAGAGGCCGGGAACGTTGAAAAAGGTAGAGCTTCTAATCTTCTCCATCGAATTAGAAGAGAAGCAGGAGTCAGAGGCCAAATTGCTTCTCCTCTTCAACATTACGTCTTCTTTCTGTGTATATATCTGAAAAGATGCAAACTTTGAGCAAATGCAATATCAAAATCACCAAAGATTTCAGATTTCAGGAAAAGGAAAACAAGTCGCTTTAGATTGAGCAATCCTTGAAAAAAAAAAAAAAACGAGACTTTAAAACTCTTGGGCAACATGCATCCTACTTGGGGAGAAACAATAGACGTGCAACTACCTATTAACCTAATGCTCAGCATCTCTGCATTAAATCGGACTCATAAATCATCCACAAACTGCAAAAGATTTGATTTTTTTCCCAATAATTTAAGCGCCCAAGAATTTTTTATTTTTGATATAGGTTAGGATTCGATCTCAATCTCAGAACCTGAAAACAACTTGCGCCGACGCATGATCAAATTTTCCCGGCATCAAGAAGAACAGAAGATCAAATCAATCAGAAAGAAATTGAATCAGTTCTTCACACAAAAACACAAATACCAAAAAGACCAAAAAAGGAAAAAAAACTCGAGTCTCAAGGAAAAAAATGCTTGATAGAAATAAAGAAGACGATTTTGAATTAAATGGAGAGAGAGAGCAGGCCATAAATCATACAAGAGAAATGCCAAGTTAATCGTCTTCTTCTTCCCTAGCTTCTCTTACCCTTTCTCTCTCTATATCTCTCTTCCGCCCACCGCTTCTCTCTCTTAGAGGCCACTCAAATCGAGCTGCTTAAGAGAGACAGGAGTAAAAATAGGTTGACAAAGGTATCGAGCTTACGCGGTACTCTTCTCTCTCTCTCTCCACCTCTCACTGTAGCTCATTAATTTCTCTTTCTATATTTTCCTCTGTTTTATTTCTGCAAGCATCAAAATCAGAGCACAGTGTGGCTTCTGCAATACTTCTCCTCTATTTATGCGGTAAGAAATAAATATATAGTCTGGACAACAAATAAATGGCATCCTATGTATTTTAGGGTGATTTTCAGAATATATCATACTGATAAATTAAATTTATTGCAAAGTATAATATGTTTCAATTTTATGAATATAAAAATTAATAATTTTAATAGCTTATTTATTAATTTTTTAGGGCGTATTTTCATACATTCCACCGAATTTTAAGTATTTACATATCTAATGTCTAAATTTCATTTTTTTTCTTTTATAGCGCCTCAAAGTTTTCATATCACATAAAAATATCACTCATGATATAAAATTTTTTTATATCAAAATAATATAAATATAAATATCAAACTTTAAAGGTTAGATGTGTAAATGTGAATGACTTGTGGGGGGTGTGTATGTAAATTTTCCAAAATAAAATTATTTAAAGCTATTACACTCTCGATGTACTATATTACAATTCTTGTCTATATCAATGATTCTAATGAAACCAAACGTTCCCAATAGCCTAAAAGCACCCATAGGATTTATCTTAATAATCACGATCGTGTATATAGTAAAGTGAATCTTAGCCGTCGATCTGATGATAAAGGGAAGAGATGAGCTGAAGGGATTAAACGGTCAGGATCGCAGACCGGTGGTCCAGTGCGGGTTGGCATCTTTAAAAGGCCGTGGAACAGAAAGCTCTGCTTCCGTTGAAGAGGACACCTATAGGAAAAAAAAAAAGGGACAAAGCTGCAGGTGGGACCCAGCAACCTAATTAGTTTCTCTAATGTTTTTTTTTTCCAAATCATATTTATATCAGTTGAACCGGCCGAATGGGCCGGCTCGGTCTGACTGAACCCAACAAAATTCAGTCATATTTCTCAATTTTAAGTCAAATTGATTTACTTCAATAATAAAAAAAGAATTTCTGTTAATGTTTATTTGGAGCGCTCATAATTCTTATGTATTTATATATGAAAAATTTAAATTCTAATATTTACATTTATAACACTCAATTTTTAACATGACTCGCATAAACAAATCACTTTATTAATTAAAAAAAAAAACTAAATACACTTTTGATGTACTAAGTTGTTATGAATATAAATATCAAACTTTTAAGTGTTAGAAATGTAAATACATAGAAATGGTGTAAATAGTGTGATATTTATTTAATTTCTCAGATTATTTACATGAATACCACCCCATTTCTATGTATTTATATATCTAACATCTAAATTATATCTATTACATTTATTTCACTTAAATTTTGTTTATCACATCAAAAATATAATTATTTTTATTTTTTAAAAAATAAAATAAGTATTTTCATGCCTGATTAGAGTGATATGTATCATCTATGTAAAAATTGAAGGGTGTTAGATATGTAAATAAATAGCAATTGTATTGGTATGTCTGTAAATCTTCCTTATTTTTCGATCAATCCTCAAGATTTATGCGGCTGCAATCATTGAATATCGAAGTGGCCGACATCTATCAAATCAGCTGAAATTTAGAAAATTAATTAAAATTATGATTATTAACATTTAATATGATAGTTGGAAGAAAATAATCATTCAATTTTTTTTTTTTAAAAACTATTTATTAGATATACTCATAATAAATTCCGATAAATTATTTTTCGTACATGCAATTACATTTCTACCACAAAAACAACAGATGCTCAAATCAAAAGAGAAATTTTTTTTTTAAAGAATATATATATATATGAGTAATTTTATAATTATAGAGCATTTCTAATTTTAATTGATAAAACTGCAAAAAATTTCTATGCTTAGAAAAATTTGTAATTATTGCATGATTGGCTGGGTAGGCAATAGAGTATATGGATTCTCCAATTTCATAAAAATAATGTAGACGTGTCTTACTTATTATCTTATCATAGCTATTATAACTTTTGTTCTTAATGAATTATTATAAGCATGCTAAGGACTCTAATTGGTGTTGGATTGAATTTGAATTACTTCCATTCCTTGAGTTTATTATGTTATTCTCCCTTCTCCTATCCTTCGTTGTTTCTCCGTCTTCAGCTTCTCCTCCTCCGGCTTCTTTTGATATTTCGACAAGGCCAGGCTAAGGTCACTCCTCTTGGCTCTCTCTGTCTTTTCTCACTTCCTTCTTAGCACGGTTTTTTTTTTCTTCTGAACCTGTTGCTGCCGGAGATCCGCAATCCTCAAGACTCCAACGCATAGCAATTTTTCTTCAATAAAATCTCAAGAAATCTGACTTATGACCCAATTTCTTTTCTTCAATTTCATGAATTCTCCTACCCCAACCCAATTGCACAGTAACCTTTTGGTTTCCCCCTCCCTCAAATTGCTTCTTCACCTTCTTAACTCTTTGGCTTCTACTCCTCTTACTGTAGAAAATTACTTCATTGGAGTGCCCAAATCATGAAAGCTATTCAAGCAAATGGTTTTGAATCTTTCCTTACGGGAGACACCTGTTGTCCACCTCAATATCATATAAATATCAATGTTCCTTCAGGTTTTAAATCAAGAATACGTCATATGGAAGCAAACCAATTACAATCTCTCTGCTCCACTTTATACCGTCATTTCACATAGCATACTTCCATTTGTTCTCCATCTTGATACAACTACAAAAATTTGGAAAACATTACTTCGTCAACTACAATCCTCCAATCGCTTAAGGGTGATAAAACCCAAAAATGAATTGCATATCATCTCCAATCTCCATGGGTAACAACTCTATGATTCAATATTTAACTGAGACCAAGAAACTTGTAGATCAAATTGCAACGAAAAAAACGAAGAATGATACTTTTTTAGATATGGAAGAGTATATTGCAGTGGAGAGTTTCAGTTCAGTTGAAGGTGACAGTGGTTCAACAGAGATGGATGAGGAAGTTACAGTGGAGTCATTGGGTTCAGTTTAAAGTGGCGGTAGCTGAGGTGATGGGGAATTGGGCAGAAAGTTGCTGGGGGTTGAAGAGTGTATTGTTAAGATGAATTGCCTGTAGGAGATATATAGAATGAAACATTAGATAAAGGTGTGAGGGTTAGTGGCAAGATAATTAAGTAGGATTACTGGATGTTAGGGTATATAAGGTGATTTGATATGGGAACTTAATTTCATTAAACTGAACATCTCTTGATATGATAACACATTTAATAATGGGATTAAAGCAATGATACCCCTTTGTGTGTAGAAGAATAACTAATAAAGACACATGAAGGAGCTTTTGGATGGAGTTTTGTATGAGCTTGAGGTTGTTGCCAAGGATAATATAGTGTGTCGAACACCCTTAGATGATCGTATTTTGGGTGGTTATGATAGAGAAGCTGATATGGAGATTGGGAGTTGTTGTTTTTGGATGGTAGGCATTTGATAAGATAAACAACAGTAAGAGCTACATCAATCCTAAAGAAATACGGAAGATTTGACTCCAAGAGTAGTGTCAGCGTGGTTTCAACAATGTGTCGATGTTTGTGTTCAACGGTACCAATTTGTTGTGTTGTATGTAGACAAATCAATTGTTGTTGTATATCATTATTAAGAAGGCAGAGCTTAAATTGAGAAGATACAAAATCACCACTATTGTCTGACATAAAGATCTTTATATTTGTTTGAAATTGATTTTTATTTAGCTTGTGGAAATAGTTAAATTTGAGTAGAGCCTCACTTTTGTGCATCGGTGGAAATAGCCACGTGAACTTAGTATAGTCATCTATAAAGATTAGACATTTGTGATAATTCCCATGAGATAATACTAGAAAGAGACCCCACACATAAGTATGAATCAATTGAAATGAAGAAGGAGAAGTAGCAGTATCTTTATTAAAAGGCAACTTATGACTCTTTGAAGTAAGACAATAGTTACATTTCCCACTAGTATAAATTCTGAGTTGATTATTCAAGATGGATATAAATTTTAGAATTGCTTCATGAGAATGGTTGAGCCTACTATGCCAAATAAATAGATGAACAATTTTTGGAAGTGCCGCCACAGATTAAACTTTGTAGATCCCATTAGTGTTTCTACCTTGAGGAATAACTTGACGAGTTATCTTGTCCTGAATTTGGTAATTAAATGCGTCAAATGATATTATGCAATCATTATTTTGAGCCAAATTTTAAAATTGATAGTAAATTGAAGGCCACATTAGGAGGCTGTAGTAAGCGAGAAAGATGAAGCTTACACCTTGGAGTATGTAGAGTGTCAGTACCTGTATGAGTTATGAGAATGGTCTTACCATATTCAACAGTGATGTGTTCATTATTTGTATATGGCTGAGGAGTTTGAACTTAACGAAGATGATTGGTGATGTGTGAAGTAGCAACAGTATCCAATATCCAAGCTGTAGTAGTGTTATCTTCCGTAGCTATAAGGGCTTTGAAGGATGAATTTCGGCTAGTAGAGCTTGTGTAGCTAAGGTTTGTACTGTGCCAACATGTTTTGGGGCGATATGGCCAAATTTGTCACAGATTTGACAATGGATGTGAGGCTTAGAAGAAGCATTATGTTTTTTATTTGGAGACGCAAATTCAAATCAATTGTTTACCCTTGAATTTAGAATTGGATGAAGTTATCGGATTCTTGATAGCCATCAAGGAGAGTGGGTAGCCGATTGTTCTCTTGCAAGTTGCACATTGATATTCACCTCTTCACTGCAAAAGAGAGAATAGAGATCCTCCAATTTGATCGGTACAAGACTTGTACAAATGGTTGTTTTGAAAGAGTTGTAGGTGGAAGGTAACCGATGAAGAGTGTATAGAAAGTCAATTTATGGCCTCAAACGAGCCCCAAGACAGTGGTTCTCTATCTTCTCGACTCATATTAAATTTGAATGTATGTTTCAAAGTACTGCTAATACATCACTATTTATCAACTCCACAGGCCAACAATATATGCTTCTACTTATCTCTGTGGATGATATTCTCATTACAGGCAAACCAAGCCTACATTGACTCTATTCTTCATACATCAATAGTTTTAAATGAACGACCTTGGCAA